AAACTCATGGTTGTAATTAGCATGTACATTAATTAGTGAATGGACTCTCTCTTTGATGTGTTTTGAATTTTATCAAATTTCCTTAATGAGTCTTTTTCTCTCCTGAGGGTGCACAGAAAAAGGATGAAATCTCATTTGTGTTTATAAAGCAATGAAAATTATCATCTTAATATAATTTTTTTCCTTTGTATTATTTGGAAAGTATCTGAGTGTACTGAAAGTGTTTTCTTCTCTTTTCTTCCTATGGTCTTGTCTCAATTTTTTCTTCTTCTGAAATATAGAAATCCTTCTCTCCAGTAAACACCCCCGACCCCCCACATATATCCCTACAGGTATGTTTTATGTATAATTTATCTAAAATTTCAAAAGAAATAATACTAGACATGGTACTGTCTCCTTTTATATATAACGTTGCTAATTTAGCTCATTAAATTTTAATTTTAGCAAGACACAAAAGTAGATTAACTGACTAGATGACAGGCAAAGGAAAGGAATCCGGAGTTACTTTTCTGTCAAAATCTCAAGGTCACTCAATGAACTTTGTGATTGGAAGCTGAGCTTTTAACAGTGGATACCAATCAATAAGACAGGAAAGAAGAGGCAAAAAATATTTAATAAGCCTTTCAGAGACAACCTGCATTGTTCTAAATTAATTTTCATATCAACCTTTAAAGGTAGCGGGTACAGATGGTTTCCCTAGGAGCCTCCGGATCCCCTGGGAGCCTTCTCTGCCTTCCTTCTGCCCCGGGAGGCTGGCCTGATGGACTCCTCAGTACGCTCTATCACCCTTAGCTTCTGGAAGGGTCTGGCCAATGGGAATTCCCAGCAGTACTGCTTCCTCTCTTTGTCCTTTTGGACCTGGGTACGTCTAACAGCTCTGGTGCTACTAGATCGAGGTTACTACACTACACCTGTGTTTCCCCTAAAACCATACCTTTGTAAATAATCTAAATTGTGGATGATAAAAAGTACCATATTTTTCATGGGCCATCTGTTTCTTGTTGGGATTCTGACTGAAACAGGCAGGTATATTATTCTCATTTTACTGATGAAGCTTAGAGAGGTTATGTAACTTGGCAAATGTCACCTTACTAATTACTACTGAGCCAGGATTCAAACTGTCTGATCAGAAGCAGGGCTCTTTCCACTATACTCACCGTTGCCTCACCATTAAGAAAGAAATCTATAGCCAGTAAATACATATCATAAGAAAGTCACAGTCCTCATACCATCCAAAAGAATACCAGGCAGCTCATAAAAGTCTCATTGTGCACAGCCTATCAATAAGCTATAGGTCAAGTGCTGAATGCATATGGTAATGTAGATATATGGTATATTGAAGCAATCTTGACGCAGTCATTTTGACATGGCTTATAAAACAAGCCAGCTCATTTTTTCAGCTTCTTTATGGAAAGCTACGTAAAATACAAAACAGATATACTCAGCTCTTCTCTGAAATCCTTTCTGTGACAGGATCATGGCTGAGGGGAGAAGAGGCATGAGAGGGGGTTGGGAGTCAAGGAAGAGTGAAAATCAGAATCTACTGCACCCATTATTTAGGAATAAAAAATAATGCTTTTATATTTTAATGCAGCTCTTATGGTACAGTGCCAAAAAAAACCCACATCAAGACACACTGCATTACCAGCTCATATTTTATGAAACGCGGATTAACCTTTTCATTACTGTATTCTGCATTCCCAGCTCTAAAACTTTTAAAATCTATTAATAAAGTATATATACACATACACACATGTATATATACACACAAACAATTTTAAAGAGACAGAATGTTTTTCTTCAATTTTAAGTTAACAGCTGTTTTTCTAAGTTAACAGCATTTAACCCTCAGTTTGTCTTTTACTGCTTATTGAAAATAGAACAAAAACATTAAATAGACGATAAATTCAATTACCTGCTTGTCATATTTTGGCAGCTACAGTGACCAAATAATAATGCAGTCACTACTATCTAATTTGTGGAGAAGACGGTAACATACAAATTTGAGCATATACACTTACACAAAAAAGAATCGTGTGCAGACATGATCCGTATTTGGGACAACCCATATCTCTCCGTGTTTGTGCAGGTCAGGTGAGGTGATCACTGTAAGTGGAAGATAAAATTAAAGAACTATTTGATTCTAAAGGAATCCTAGTCCCTTCCAAGTCACCATATCCCTTCTCTTCTAAATCTGAAAGCAAAAATACATGCACAGATGGACATATAAAAATGTTTAACCTTATTAGCTACCGAGAAATATAAATAAAAACAATGAAAGGCCACATAATAATTATTACTTTATGATTTGAATAATTGGTGTAACAATAGGAAGGAAATCATTTAAGTATTATCAAAAGCAAACAGGTCCTGACTTGAAAACTATGTAGACAGCAACTTAGTGTCCTAAATAACAACCAAGTGTTGAAAACTTAAAAGACAGTTGACAGTGGCTACTGAAATTCCTAACACAAAAATAAAAAAGTGAACTTTTAGCCAAAGTCAAATTTTAAAGCAAGAACAAAGAAAAGAATATGATCTTGCAAATCGCCTATCAATTTTTGTGACCTAAGTTTGGAATAGAAGATTAACTTCAGTGTAGGAACAGAAAGACCTCTTTTCAGTGCCTGGTTTATCTTTCAAGTTTTTCATGGTATTACATATTCAAATACTAACTTAAAGAGGAAGGTAAGCACATTAACAAAAGAGACAGTATTACTTGATCAGAAAGATGTAATTACCATTTTGAAATATCTGCCATGAATAAAATATAGCACTGTCTGAATTCTTGCCAATTTTGCAATTTGGTTTTAACCTCTATGATCTCTACTGTACCCATTTTCCATTTGTGCCCTTCGAGACAGTCATAAGAAATAATGCTTTCACTGTTCCATCACAAGCATGCTGGAAATATACTTGAATTCTTAAATACAGATAACACAGAGGACTAACACTATGAGGTTTGTAAAATTTTCAACTTACCTTCACATAAGGCTATGCATTTTAAGTTACGGCTTTGCAGGAACTGGGATTGCTGTCCTTTCTTCTGTGACTAAATTCCAAAAGAATTCAAAAATTACAGTGAAAATGGGGCACTGTAGTCAAAAAATTGCTCCTCATTAAAAAACAATAGCCACTAAGATGGCTCTGGAAAATAAAAAGCCTATCTAGACTAGCATCAATACCCTTGCACTCTCTTAAAATCAAGCTATTTTGGTTTATCATTTAATTTATGTACATAATCATTATTAAATTACTCTCAATATGAGTAAACTAAAGAAATGCTAAATTGGAGTTCAGTAGTCTCACAACATAGAATTAGAACTCAAATTTGTTTTTACTGGAAGTCTGGCATTTTTATTTCAAGGTAAACAAAATTACATTTGCATGATTGTTTCAAACATTAAAATCAATGATTCCAGATCATCTGACTATCCAAAACCAACCTGTTTTTATGGCATCATCTGCTAAACCACAGCGCTTTCACAAACATCTCACGTAGAAAATCTGGGTGTTTTTGTTTTTAGATATTAGATTAGTTATACTTTCAGATGGTGTTTTAATATACCTAGAATATATGTGTTTTCTCTGGGAAAAAATCAGAAATTGCGCTCTTCTCTCCACCTGGAATGTTCTTTCTCCCAGAAAGCCACACAGCTCGTGCGCTCACCATGTACAGGTTTTACTCCCGTCACCTTCTCTGAGCTTCCTGTCTGGACCATTCCGTTTGACATTCACCCAAGTTGCCTCTCCCACCTTTTAGCATCAAACACCTCTTTTCTCTGATTTATTTTTCTCCATAATATTTACCACCATCTAGCATTCTATCTA